TTTCAGTACAGTAAATAAACAATATGCTAGTAATGCGCACAAAGCTACAGATTTGCTTCATCATTGTCCATATTATCTTATCGTTAAACTTTTGGAGCTCACTTTCTGGCTGAATATTTTTAAATCGTACCTCATAACCTAGGATCGTCGCAAAAGGAAAGTAAACCTTATTTCACGAGTGCCCATCACGCTTTGAGGTGATCAACTGATCACAAAAGCGACATCTTTGTGTTAATTTGTAACATTGGCAATAATGAATTTCGGGACCGTACTCAGAGCTGTTGTTCACATATTAGGATTATATTTTTAAGTGGATAAGAAATGTGAGAATGAAATGTACAAGTACAGATATAGAAAAGTTTATTAGAGAATTATTATGATACATCTGCGATTTATTGATTACATGGTATGCCAATAGAGCAGGTTGTAAATTTACCTGTAAAAATAATATAGACACGTGTTTCTGATTTATTGTGCGACATTGTAACGTAATTCATCAAAAGCAGATAACTAATCACATCAAAATAAACACATTCACCCAAAATTACGCAAACGACCCACCACCAAGCCATACTATTGTGATACATCAAATGCATCATACCACTCAAATAACAAAAAATGAAATTACTTCCTGGAATTTCCCATTTCCTCGATATGTAATGATGGTCTTTGAAAAAATTATAAACTACGTTTGCGTTTCCTTTAGATTTTTGCAGAGTTCTCAACAGTCGGCCCATGCCTGTATTCACGAACACTGCATTGTCCCAGTTGTGTACATTTCATGACTTCCTGCAATAGTTATATAGGCAAAAACTGTTTATCTTATTTTATTCCTACCTGATCTGAAATGTAGTCGTGGTCATTAGCAGCCATTGTGCTTGTAGCGTTTCTTTCGTATGCAAAGAAACTTTTTCAAATAAAAGAGTTCTTAGCAAGTACAAAATGAATCTATAGCGTACAAAGAACCACAACAAAATACGGGTCTGTCTACCTGAAGTTCACCGATCCCTTGGAATTAATTACGAGGGATGTCTTCTAAGTTTTGCATATACAAACATAGTAGGTCGCGCGGATCGAACGTCAGTACTGAATCTTAACCTCACTCTTTAGTAAACTTAAATTCAAAGTTTCACAACAATACGTGCAGTGTTCTCACTACAGTGCATTTTTAAGTGTCACCAAGTCATTAAAAAAATAGTTTCTCGTTGGATACCCCACCTGTTGACTGAAGAGCAGAAAGCAGCCAGAGTTAATTGGTGTCAAAAAACGCTTGACCGTTTTAATTCCGGAAACTTAAAAAATGTGTACAGCATTGTTAGTGGTGATGAATCGTGGATTTACTGTTATGAACCAGAAAATTAACGACAGTCGGCTGTTTGGGTGTTCCAAGGTGAAGAAAAGCCAACAAAAGTCATCCGTTCTCGAAGTGTTTCGAAAAAGATGGTCGCGACATTTGTGTCAAAAGCGGGTCATAGTGCAACAATTCCTCTTAATGAGCAAAGAACTGTTACTGCGGATTAGTATACCACTATTTGTTTTCCAAAAGTCATCACCGAGCTTCGAAAAATCAACCCCGAAAGAAGAATCATCCTCCATCAAGACAATGCAAGCTCGCACACAGCCCAAAAAACAAGGCAGTATTTAACGGAAGAAAATGTGGAATTATTGGACCATCCTCCATATAGTCCCGATCTAAGTCCTAGCGATTTCTTTACTTTGCCGGAAATTAAAACAGACTGCGTGGTCAAAGGTTCCAGTCACCAGAAGAAGCAGTTGACGCATTAAAAAAATGCCGTTTTAGATCTGCCAGCAAACGAGAGGAATAAGTGCTTCGAAAATTGGTTCGAGCGCATGCAGATGTGTATTAATCTTCGTGGAGAATACTTCGAAAAACAATAAAGTCATTTAAAACTACCTACCGTGTTGTTTTATTTCCATATGCAAAACTTAAAAGAGACATCCCTCGTATGAGTCCTGTGCTGATATGGGGAATTAATTTCGAAATATTACTAGATAACTAGCTGTCATTGTTCCGTGATGGATACTCGTGAAATAGGGTGTACAGGCATTCCTTCGACCAAGAAGCACCGTTTTGCGCATCTTCTGCCATTATTTCTTAGAACTGATAATTCCTTGCCACTACATATCTTGATAACAATTTTCTGCTTGTTTTCCACTGATATTGAATAAAACTAAATAAAAGCGCTTAAAAAGGTTGTGATGCATATTAAACTGAGCAACTTGCGTACAAAACATGAATTTGACATCACGTACGGGATTAGAATCCATAAAACATTTAAACTTCTAACCTCAACTGTTGCAAACAGGGATGAAATTAGTGTTAGAACAACATGTGAGATATTTTGAACAGCTTAGGACAAAAGGGCAAAGCTATTTAACAAGAGCTCTAATTATATCACAAACGTCTGTAACACAAACGAAGTTAGTGAATTTGCATTTTTGAGATGGCTTCACGTTAGTCTATTTTAGTAATATCAATGTGTATTCTCAATTCCAGATAAATGAACGTGTCGTTACGAATGTTAATTGTCACTGTGTTTGCAAGTACAAACATGTTGGTGCTTTGATATAATATATCAACACAGAAGAGAACTTGTAAAAAACAAGCAGCTAACAGTAACAATGTTCCCACTTATTGCCAAAAAACTAGATATTGCGACTGGAACTAACTAACAATCAGCATTGCTGGCTTAATTAGATCGCAAATCATTTCTGTAGTTAGTCCTAGAATCAGCAGTACAATCGGAAAATGCAAGTAATGTGAAAGAAATATTAGTAGACACATTGTCACCCATTTCGAGAATTTGAGCGATTTTACATGAAAATATTCAACAAATTAACTGTATGAAATATAGTAATTTGACACATGTCAATCTCAAAATATTACACAACTCTGCCTCATCGCGTGCGGTGGTCGATTTGACAGTTTCCACTCACCCACTTTGCAGATAGCGAATGCTCAGCTTGGAGTTTTAAAGCGCCACAAAATATTTGCATGATGACTCCTTTTCTATCGCTGCGTCAGTGCTATCCATGTAGCATTCTACTGTTGGAATAATGATTTCAAATATCTCAATCCGAACCTCTCCTCAGTGAGACAAGGACGATCTGAAATGCTTTCGGACTTCGCAAACCCGATACGTAACCTTTGCTATATAGGTTACCTTAACACTGACCTGCCTAAATTATTCGGGGGTTTACATTTTCTTCACAACCATTCCCGTAGATACCTATTTTCTTACACTCATTTTACTGATAATGCTTTGGATAAATGTTAAGTACATGACGTTTAGACGGATTTAGTAAGGCTTTTGATCTTCTAGATAGAGAAATTTAATTGGAAAAATTATGGAATAAATGGTTCATTTCTGTCTTGGTTGATTCCTACTTAAAAGATCGTGCGCTTCAGGTAAATGTTGAGAGACATATGTCGCCAACTTTAACTGTTGAATCAGGTGTACCTCAGGGATCTCACCTTGGCCCCAGACTACTTTTTTTTTTTTATACTCCAACTACCACGAAGGCCTAAGGCCTAAGCACCCATTGGGTACCGTGGGGCTATGGGGGGATACATGGGAAAGGGGGGACGCCACACGGACTCTGGCGAGGGAACACGTGTGCATGCAACATGCACACATTCTGGCTCCGCCTACGAGAACCGCCGGGTGGTACCTCCGCGTTCGACAGTCAGAGACCATCTACCGCCTACGGACAATCACAACATCCATGGCCAAGAGAAACGTTTCTCCTGGGACGGGACTCGAACCCGCACAGCTCATGGCGACTGATCAGGAGACCAAAGAGTCTACTACTGCGGTCACCGCTGCTGCCTAAAACAAACACACAACATCCATGGCGGAGGCGAGATTCGAACTCGCGGCCAGGCCGGCCGGCTGATCAGTAGCACGACACTCTGACCCACGCGGCCAACCGAGGTCCCCGAGGTCCTCCTTGGTTTTGTGAATGACATTGGCCGCCTTTTCAAATCAAATTATTTACTTTATGCTGATGATTTGGACATTTTTTGATGACTTAAATCCAGACAGGACTATGATATGTATGCTTCAGAAAGATATAAATATTTCAGTAGAATATTATACAATACTAATAAATGTTGTATATTGTTTTTACTTGTAATAAGTGCTGTGTTAAGTAAGCATACATGATCAGAACAATGCACTACCTAGAGTGAATGTAGTCAAAGGCATTTACCTTGATTGTAAGCTTACATTTACAGATCGCTACCAGTATATAATTGACAGAGCTAATCACATTGTAGGGCTGATATCACTAACATCTAGGGATCTTTGGGACTAAAATTGTATGGTCACGCTGTTTGCTTCATTAGTAGGTTCGTATTGGAATATGGTCCAAACATTTGGTGCCCATATTACGTGATTCACAAAAAAAAAACATTCAATCCATACAAGTTAAGGTATCAGTGTTATAAAATGGAACATTGAAATGCACATCTGACCATGATGAGGTTCACTTGATTGGTTTTGCTTAAAGATAGAAGAATGCTTCAGCACATGTGCCTGACTTTTAAAGTATAATTGAGCTGTTGGGATAAATAAATTTCCAGTTACTACCAGAAATTTTAAACATAACATGTCCTGTAATGGATTTAGCACATGCAGACATGCCGCAAAACTCACTCTGATTTGGCTCATCTCTCATGTAAATGATAGTGCTGATCTGCATTCATTGGGAGTTTCCTATGAAATTTTTAAAACCAGACTGGGTAGGTGTATTTTTGATGTGTTAATTTTAATTGGAGTGTAATTGTGATTTTTATTCAACCATCCTGCATGAACTTTTATGTCTGCTATATATTGTCAATTTTTAGGTTTTTATTGTAAAATTCTTTACCATCGAAATGAATGAATATAATTAGCTGCCTCTAGACATAAATGCCCTTTCGAGGTTCAGCATGCAAGTTCGAAAACTAATGTTACACAGCATTTTCCTGTACTTACCCCTATTGCACTCCATAACAACAGAAAATGTAATGCCAAGAAAAGATGCAATGTAAAAGCCCTTAGTAAGACAATGCCGCTCAGGCAGTACTTCAAATAATCTTCGACATCTTCTTCCTTAACTTTTTCGTCAAAATCGTAGTTCCAGATTTCTTGTAAGTCTTCTTCAAGTGTTAAAACCGACACATCCAATGACAGAAAACATATTGCAATGACTGATATCACTATAACTTCGGTGTAGTTTGGGATGCCATTTGATTTTGATATCATCGCATTGTAAAAGGAATACTGATAATTTTGACGTTACTTGTTTCAAATTGAGGTTATGAAATATTGACGTATGTCTTGATTACTCAATTACCAAAAAAGCAAAAAAAATGGACACACAAAAGATAATTGGAAATATTCATAGGATGTGACTTGAGGATAACGAGCAATTTAAATATTTTCAAATGTTCCATAGATTCTACATTGTCGACCTTACGAACTGTTTTTCTAAACTAGATACTAGATATTTCTAATCTTCGAAATATCTACCAACAAATACAGGGTATCCTGAACAACAACAACTACCTTTGTAATAACAAAGCTAAAGTGAGGACAAACAGCGACAAATAGGTAAAAAATAAACTGTGATAAAGTAGTCACTATTCATTTACTCCGGAATTTCAAGCAGTTTGTTAAATTCCTCCTAAAGCGATATTTAGGGCTGTCTATGCCTTCTATCATGTCCAGCTCGACTTAGGAAACTGCCAATTTCGGTTTTTCAAATCCGATTATAAATAAGCTTGGTTAATCTACACACCGTGTGGCGCCTTATTTGGATACTGTCGGAACAGTACCATAAAATATTGTACCTGTGACGTTGGATGCAAGGTCGGCCCACTCCAAGTTTTTTAGAACATAATCTCTCAGCTTTAGTGTACGTCTTATTACGAAAGCTATTTTATCTGACCTTACACTATGTAAAGGGCAGTATCAACCTTAACAGGGCTCCTACAATCACGACCATCATCTGCTGAGGTAACGGGGGGTGAAAAGGAAACGAGGGTAGGCTGGCCCTTGACGATCGTCGGCGCTACTTTAAAAGAGAAAAGGATGACTGCGGGTGCATACCAAGGTAAATTTTTATAATAACAGAGTCGGATTTCGATTAGCGATCTAGAATGTAAATCGTTTCTTATTTTGGTACTCAGCAAGTGATCATTCAGTATTTTTCTCCCCTTGTTACTGTTCGCCGATATTGGGTTGTTGAGGTGTTGTTGGTGTGATTGTTCTTAAGTGCCTTTTTTTATAAAGGCTGATATGGACAATAAAGGGTCATATGCGACCATTTTAATTATGAATGCAGTGAGTTTAATTCATGATGAGGTCAACAATAGTGTGGAGCAGGTCAACTCTATAATCGCAGAATACATTGGGGTAAGCGAATAAATTATTGCAAGAAGAGGAGATACCATGAAAGATGAGCTGCAGCTGTAGTGAGCCACAATTCCCAGCGGCCTGTATATGTGGTCTAAATACATTTGCGTTCTAAGCTTAGTCCAACCTCGCTTATCGCTAAGATGGAACAAAGACTCAAACGCAAGAATCTTGAAACTCAGGGCAAAAAAGCAGATATAAAAATTACGGATAGCAATTCCAAAGAGAATAGTTTTATGGCGAAAATTTTTAGGGCAACTTAAAAAAAGTGACGTCGAGATTTTGCAGATCGAACAAGTCACCAAGTCACAGGACTACTTTGTCGCGCCTTCATCGGAGAATAAGGTTGTCAGCGTCTCGATTTGGTGAAGTTTGTAGAAGAAGGCAGACAACAAGTTCTAGTAAACTCCACCATATACCCAACAGTTTTCTAGTAAGGCAATAAAAAAGGCAATACAAAAATCATTGGACACCGTATTTCAGTCTTGTGGTTTGTTTATTGATCGCACACATCCATTTCTGGCAGCATCGCCTCCATCTATCTATTACAGTAGACAAGAAATGTACTTAATCCAGGTATAAGCAAAAACTACCTAACTGTTTCCTCTTATTTTGACGGCATAAGATATTTTTATGACCCTCATTCAATTGTTACCATGTACCACATGACCCTTGTAAACATAATTGTGTTTACTGACATGAATAAACGAATTTTAATTTGAGTTTATTTTAGGAAATACAGTATCGGACAAAAGTAAAGCGACGCTATAATATCCTTAAAAAACTTTTTCACTGAACCTCGTATGATGACGAGCAATTTTGTAGTATCAGTACATACCTTGGTTTATCGTATTTAAATATTCTTTGCCTCTTGTGATAACATCGAGAGATAAAGAAATACCTTATATGTTTTTATGCATGTTTTCATGGACAAAAATAGAGCGACTATACCGATATTGTTCATACCATTAGTACATAAACATCGGTTGTGGTCGGTATCAAATGTTATTTTGTGTATAAAATGCCTCGCGGTAAAAGTTTTTCTGTTGATCTTAAAGAAAGAATTATTGCATCATATAAGATGGGAATACCACAATATAAAATAAAACAAGAACTGAGGTGTAGAGGACAATTCAGAATTATCGAATTAGGGGTAAAGTAATCAACCTAAAACAGACGGGAACGGGAAGACCGAGAAAAACTACAAAGAAACTTGATATGAGAATTAAGAGGAAACAAATTCTGGCTGAAGCTGGGGACTCTAATGTTTCTTCTCGGACTATACAGCGCAGACTAGTTGAAGCAGGCTTAACGGCATGCAAACCTGCAAAAAAACCGCTTCTTAGTAAGAAGAATATTAAAGCACGTCGTCTGTTTGCAGCCCAACATGCTCATTGGACACCAGAGCAATGGAAAAAAGTACTGTTTAGTGATGAGTCAAAGTTTGACTTGTTCGGCGTATTGCAGGTAAACGACTAGACCCAAAGTATGTCCAAGGTACTATAAAACATGGAGGTGGAAACGTGTTAGTGTGGGGTTGTTTCTCTGGCTATGAAATGGGACCAATTTATCACATTGAAGGCATTATGGATAGGTTTAAGTATAAATATATCCTTGAAAATATCATGCTGCCTTATGCAGAATGGAATATGCCACTACGATTTGTTTTTCAACACGACAATGACCCAAAACATACAGCAAAATGTATAAAAAAATGGTTCAATGAAAATAGAATCACCATTCTTAAAGGGCCAGCCCAATCACCCGATCTTAATCCGATCGAAAACCTGTGGGAAATTGTAGATAGGCAACTTAGAACCAAATCCTATAAAAATAAACAGCAAATTTTTTAAGAAATTGAAAATATCTGGAAAACTATTGATCAAAACATAATTGATAATTTAATTTCTTCCATGCCTCAAAGGTGCCGCCAGGTTCTCGCAATTAAAGGACTGTGGACTAAATATTAGGAAGGCAACATGATAATGTATTTGTTTTTTGAATATTCTGTTTTGTATTATTTTTATTGTATGCGTCGCTTAACTTTTGTCGTTTAAGAATGTTTGATTTTTCTTTTTCATTTTAGAATCTTGTCAATATGGGAGAAGTTTGGTATAGAATGTAATAAATGTATTTGTGTCAATGAATGTATTTGTTTTAATGAGTTTTAATTCCTCTTGCGTTATTGCGTTTTCAATAGAAGAAAAAAAATATATCGTCTCTCTATTTTTGTCCGATACTGTATATCAAATTATTTGAATACATTTGTTCTTAGTCGGAACGCACCGTCGCGTCGCTTGGACTGGCAGGACGAAACAGTAGACGAGTTTCGCCCAAAAACCGATTTGCACTTCACAGATTACGCTTCATTTTTTATTATTTCCAAATGAAACTCTTGCAGCGTGCTAAAAACAAAGTCCACAGGGTGCTAACGGTCCACTTTTTCGATTTTATCCACTAGGATCTTTTTAAAATATCAAGAAGTTGAGCATTTCAACCCACCATAATTCTTGCGCAAAGACAAAATTTTGTAAAAGGCTCTGATAGCACCTTAGGCAATTATGTCCTGCTTATATCCAGAGAAACATCACAAACTGCAGAACACAAGTTGTAGGTAACGGCGACCTGGGAACATTTCACGGGTCATGAAATTCAAATGAAAATGCAGGTATAAAATCTACCAAATTATCGTTCTCAAAAACATATTTCCTTGACATATCGATAATTTTAAAGTTCCACGCTAAATTTCCCTATACTTGACTGGAGTGATATCCGAATTCCGTATTCCGTACATTGCGCCGCAACGCTTGGGTTGGCAGCACCAAACAGCAGACAAAATTCGTCCAAAATACGATTTGTAGAGGTTTGCGCGCTTCGAAATTGACGCTTTATTTTTTGATATTTTTGGATGAAATTTTCACAGAGTGCTGAAAACAAAACCCCACAGGGTGCTATAGATCCACTTTTTCATTTTTTTCACTAGGTTCTTTTTAAAAAAATCGCGAAATTGAACAGAAACAGTGCGCACTTCAACCCATCATAAAACTTGTGCAAAAACAAAATTTCAAAAAGTGCTCCTATAGCACCCTGGGCAATTATCTACTCAACATACTGTATGAATTTATGAATTTCATTCAAAAATATTGAAAACTGAAGTGTCAGTTTTGAAGCAGCTGAACCCTTGTAAATGGCTTGGAAGTCACTGCGTCGGAGCCGCCTTAGGGCACCTTGTATATTTTTTGTTGGCCAGGTACAGGTTTGAGGGGTTAAACATATTTGGGTATCCATGTTTATTCCCAAACTACTGCTATATCTGAAAATGTCTGGTTCTCATTATGTACTGAAACTAAAAATCATCTATCACTAAGATACACATTTTATTTATAAATAAGTAAACATGAATTAACAACATCGAAAATGTATCTAAAAATAAAAGTTATTTCTCACTAAGCCAGCATCATGTCAACAAAATAGAACGTGAATTAACAAATCTATTAAAAATAATTTAGATAAGTTGTGTAGAAAGTATAACACAGTGCGTATAGAGAATATTTCGTACAGTCTTTTGTCTGTCAAAGTTGCAACCCATCTTCAAGAGAGCTCAGCATATAACAACATCAATATTTTGCGTACGATTTGCACCCAAAATTGCTAGAGTTAAATAGACTTATTAGCTAAATTAAGATCCTTTCTACGTTATGAGTATATAACAGAATCACGATTTGTCTATGTACATAGAAATCATAAGATCATTGACAGTAGCCTGTCCAGGATAACCTCTCAAAAGTGTATATCAACCAGTCGACTGTAAAAATTATATTCTTTAGCGCCTTCCTATAGGTAACAAAATTCACTGTTATTCTTGGATCCCCGATAACACAAGTCCTCATCGATGGGCATAAGCTAAACGTGGCGAGAGACAGGATAGTTTTTCTGGTTCTCGTGATGTCTTAGCTACTTGTGATTGGCTACTGACCGAATTCGAACGGTTCTGAGTCATTTCTCTGTAACTATGATACCTAAATCATTGTATTAGTGATATTGTTGACTTGAGAGGTGATCTTGATCAGAAAATGCATAACGTTTACAAAATTAGATTCGTTGCCTCCTGAACGGATCCCTTGAATAGGCTCCCTTGTTGTGCTCCTCCCTCAAGTTGGCGAAATAGCTGAAGGATACGTACCACATGTAGCAGTATAACACTGTAACGTGAAAATGCTTTATTAATATTCCCACAATGAAAAGTAAAGTTGTACTTAGTGACTGTATTGAACATTTCAAAACTAACGAAATCATAAAAATTCACTCAGTGACAAGGAAAATAGAGCACCCGGAAAAAATATTTGAATAAAATTTCAAATACAGTCAGACAGTGAACCTGTCGAAATCTAACGATATCGTTCAGTTCAAAACTTATTCACGACTTCGTCTTAACTGTATACAAACCTGCATTTCTTTGTTACTGAGCATAATATTTAAAATGATTCAGGATGTATGGAAACTCTCCGATTAGTTGTTCATTGTCATATAAAGAAAATAGTACTTACCGAATGATATGAGTCCACAGACTAACCATAATGTCGCATTGAGAGGAAAACCTTCGATATAGAAGTTGATTGCATTCCATAAAATTGAAACCAGAATGCCAAATATCAACATGCCACCAAGAATAACCCATGGAATCATAAGGTACCAGTTCCGCTGAAAAAGAAACAGAATGGTTGAAGAAGCTAAAATACTATAAAATAATGTCATTCGTCTGATTTTAGTAGGGATCGACCGATGTCGATATGCAGATAATCATATTAGCCTGCAGTATCGATATACAGGGTGTTCCTTAATGAAATGCGAATATTTAAGGATGTGAATGTACATGAAAAATTAATGTTAGTTTGCTTTATAAACTATGGTCCAAAAATGTTTCCTTACAAAAACTCGGGGTTCGCAGTTTTAGGAAAAAAATAATATTTTCAGAACCGCTCCAGATATTTCACTGATATTCATTACGTAGTTAAAGTTAATAATGCTGCATATTTTTCAATGCAAAAATGATGTTTAGATTCAACAGTGGCGTGCGAACGAGTATTGATATTTTTAAAGTAAAAAATGTTACGCCAATGGTTTTTTGCCAAATAAAAACTATTTTTGAATTCCGTTCAATTTAATACAAATGATCTCTCTTGAACTGTTTTCTGCCTATGCGCCATTTTTGAGTAAAAAATAAAAACCGTTCTATTGTCTTGCAAAATTATTATTAATTTAATTGGAAAAATTAAACAAACTAGGGGTAATGAACAACAACAACTGACAACATAAACATAACATTAAAACCAACGAAACGATTACAAAAATTCTTGAAAATGGCCCCCTTCACTTAGTACGCATGCTTCCGCCCTCCTTCTCATGGAATTGCACACTCGTTGAAATATCCCTGGAGTGTTTTTTATTCTATCACAAGCTGTAACTATTCTTTCTCTTAATTCCTCTACAGTGTTAATGGGACTTGTCTTAAGATAACCCCACAAAAAAAAAATATACTGTTGAGGTCTGGGGACCTTGGTGGCCATTCTTGGGGCCCACCGCAGCCAATCCAACGATTTGGATTTGTAAATAATTACGAACCGCTACACTGAAATGCGCTGGTGCACCATCATGCATGTACCACGTATTGTTTCTTATTACTAACGGAATATCATCAAGCAGCAAAGTCAACTGTTGTTGAAGAAAATTGAGGTAAGTCTGTCCGTCAAGTCATCCGGCAAGAAGAATGGGCCAATAAAGTGGTTGCCAATAATTCCTGCCCATACGTTAACCGAAAATTGGTGTTGGAAATGGGTTTCGGTTACGGCATAGGGATTTTCTTCTGCCCACAAATGATTATTGTGAAAATTCTGAATGACATTTCGAGAAGAAAAATTAGCTTTGTCTGTGAATAGAAACATTGATTCAAATTGCGGATTTTGTGTAATTTTTTGAAGATACCACTGACAAAAGGTCACACGCCATGTAAAATCAATGAGAAGTAATGCCTGTACTCTTAAAATATGGTAATGATATAAAAAAAATCCACTAAAATTCTCCAAACAACTTGATGGCAAATATTTGTCTAGCGATCTTCCCGTACTCGTTTCAGGATGTTCTTCGACTTCGTGCAGCACTGCTTCCTCAATTTCAGGTGTTCTCACACTTAGAGGTCTACCTTCAGATGTTCCTTTTCGGAAAGAACCAGTTTCAACAAGACGACGATGAATATTAGAAAAGGTTCGACTATCTGGCAAAGCACGATCGGGATATCTCTGGTGATAAATCCGTCTGACTTGCCCATCATTACCGTCGGCAAGGCCATATACGTAATGCATTTCCGCCATTTCTGCATTTGAATGATTCACCATTATTAACAAGATTGTAAAAACTAAATAATGAAAAAGATGTCACGCGAACAGATTTGAATAACAGAGACTTTTCAGATGTCAAAAGCCAGTGACATATTTCAGAGCAACTAGATATTTATTGCTAAATTGCATTCTTCAATTATTACATTAGTTTCCTGAGACAATAGGACGGTTTTTATTTTTTTAGTCGAAAATGGCGCATCAACGAAAAACAATTCAAGAGAGACAATTTGTTTTAAATTAAACGGGGAATTCAATAATAATTTTTATTTGGCAAAAAACTATTGACATACCATTTTTTTCTTAACTGTTAAAGCTAAAAATTATTTTTGCATTGAAAAATATGCAACTTTATTAACCTCTGCTACGCACCAAATATCAGTGAAATATCTGAAGCGGTTCTGAAAATATTAATTAATTTCTATTTTTTTTTCTAAAACTTCAACACCCCGAGTTTTTGTAAGGAAACATTTTTGGACCATAGATTATAAAGCAAACTAACATTAATGTTTCATGTAGGTTCACACCCTTAAATATTCGCATATCATTAAGGAACACCCAGTATAGACATTTAAAAGGTGATTTGGATATGAGAAAAAAAACTATAGCGAACTCACTTTTTTACTAATAATATATAATAATCCAAAATACACATCTTAGATATCATTTAGACTGCAACTGATCATTAACTGTATACCTGGTAATAGTATTTCGTTTGTTATATTGATCCATTGTGGTCTAAATGAGCCTGAGATATGCATAGCGTTGAATTATTTTTTAACCAAATACTGAAAGACCTTATTATTCGGGTTTAACTACGTAACTAATCATAACTTTGTTTTATTCCTATTTTTTGTGTGTATATGTTGGGAATTATTATCTTGTTAATGAAATTGTGGGATCAGTTTAGTTAGAAGGAAATAAATTTTCCAAAACGTCGGCAACTGCGTTTCTTCAGACCCCAAATCCAATTAATTACAAGAAATTTGAATCAAGTACCCGCCATACAAAAACCACCTGAATCTCGGACATACTATATTATCTGTATGCGATGAACGTCGAATACGAGGTATCATTTGAAGTGCAGAGAATGTAGTGACTTACGGGATGCATACCCAGAATACCGTTGATGAAGCGTTGTCAGTAAAAAAACCATGTTGGAATAAAATGGACTGAAGTAGTTTTTGAAACGACCGAATCGACTGTTCTATACTCACCCTTAGTACTCCCATAATCATGACAATTGACAAGATGATGGTCATGCAGAGATTGAGTACTACAATGATTTGTACAATCCATTTTGGTAGCCAATCAAAAACTATGGTCCTAATATCAACTGGTGCGCAGAAGATCACTATTATGCCTATGATGGAAAGCAGCTGAAACAAAAAAAAGAAATATTTTAATGTTTGAAATTTATTCAGAACCCTGGAATTAGGAACTCATATAGGCCATTTTCCAAGCAAAGTTGGAAGGACATATTTTTTGTTGGTGTGTGTTTTATAGTCTTCATAATTTCTAAGTGTGAACATTAAACTTATAATGCTAGGTTGTTACGCATAGATATCTTCGGTTTTTTGTGGAAATACTCGAAATTGGGAATCTTTCCGAATGAAATTTTTTCAATTAAACATCTGTGACGAATTCTCAAAGATGCCACTACGGTATCTCATTTTATCTCGATTAATTATTTAGACGCGGAAGTATAGCGTTAGCGCGTTAGGTTGGCTATTTTCAGGTAGAATACGTTAATAAATGCTTCTAGTTAATAGGAGACGACTTTACACAGCCACAGTTGCCCACATACGTTTGAGAAGAATGGCACTTACAATAGCACAAATTCCTGCAGTGATTGTGCCTGTCCTTAAAGACCCGCAGCAGCAGCATGTCTCTAGAAGGTACTTCGCCATGTTTGCTTTTCCTTAATCTGAAACAAGTAAAAACACTTTATTATGATGTTAATATACTCGAGTTATTAGATTTAAATGTTGTATATCACTTTGCTCAAAAACATGGTCGTGGGATTGCCAGATCAACGTCAACTTTGGATATCAGATATAAGAAGAAAAAGTTTGTTGATACTAATTGTGATTCGTTAAGAAATAGGGAAAATGTATTTGAGTGGCGAGGTTCGAACAATCGCAAGAAGCATAACATGGTAGATTATCTGCAAGCTTTTGAAATTAAGATGTAAACAGCAATTGTCTTCGCAAATTATTCGTTTGGATATCAATCTTTCAACATATAATTAGAAGTTCGGAATATGCGATTTTCCACTTTACTTTACCCTCACTTGCGAGGAACTATTGTACGAGGGATGTATTTTAAGTTTTGCATATAGAAACAGTAGGCCGCGCGGATCGAACGTCAGTACTGAATCTTAACCTCACTCTTTAGTAAACTTAAATTCAAAGTTTCACAACAATACTTGCAGTGTTCTCACTACAGTGAATTTTTACGTGTCACCAAGTCATAGAAAAATGGAACTCAACCGAGAACATTTTCTCGCCATAATTTATTACAACTTTCAGAGACAATTATCGCAACAAGAATACCTTGCTGAGTTACTGTCTGTTTTCGGCAACGAAGCGCCACATCAGTCGACGACTTCCCGTTGGTATAGGGAATTGAAACGTGGACGGGTGAGTCTTAGCGACGATCCCAGGGTGGGTGCACCAAAAACCGCAAACACCTAAAAAAACGTAGATGCTGTGCGCAAACTCATCATTGAAGATAGACATGTGACATATCGCGAGATTAAGGCTTCCTTGAAGATCTCAAAGACCTCAATTCAAAAAATTTTACATGAAGAATTAGGAGTAAGAAAATTAGTTTCTCGTTGGATATACCATCTGTTGACTGACGAGCAGAAAGCAGCCAGTGTTAATTGGTGTCCAAAAACGCTTGACCGTTTCAATTCCGGAAACTCAAAAAATGTGTACAGCATTGTTACTGGTGATGAATCGTGGATTTATTGGTATGAACCAGAAAATAAACGACAGTCGGCTGTTTGGGTGTTCCAAGGTGAAGAAAAGCCAACAAAAGTCATCTGTTCTCGAAGTGGTTCGAAAAGGATGGTATTCAACGGAAGAAAACGTGGAATTATTGGACCATCCTCCATATAGTCCCGATCTAAGTCCTAACGATTTCTTTACTTTCCCGAAAATTAAAAACAGACTGCGTGGTCAAAGGTTCCAGTCCCCAGAAGAAGCAGTTGACGCATTCAAAAATGCCGTTTTGGATCTGCCAGCAAACGATTGGAATAAGTGCTTCGAAAATTGATTCGAGCGCATGCAGATGTGTATTAATCTTCGTGGAGAATACTTCGAAAAACAATAAAGTCATTTAAAACTACCTACCGTGTTATTTTATTTCCATATGCAAAACTTAAAAGACATCCTTCGTAATTGCAAAAAGATTTCTAAAATGGGATATGTTTTTGGATCTTATTTGAGACATGTACATCTCGAAGAACCATGTCACTCATTTCCGTCGTTCTGTCTCTCTGCTGTCCGCTAATCCTTGGCCCAAATGTTTACATAAGGTTACTGCCATGCCAAGGACGAAAAATCGGTCCAGTGCGGCGGAGAAGAACGCTAAAAATGTAAAACGTAAAAATCGCTCAAACTTGGTCTAGGCTTGGCCTTTGGGACAACTAACAAAAGCATAACAACCATCCTCTATCCAGGATATGAGATCTATGGCGATGTATTATTTCGATAGTATCTTTTGCTGAACATAATTTTTAAGCACAGAGTCAACCTACTTGACGCCATTTTTTCGCATATATTTGTTCAGTCTTCAACAGCATTCTTCACTATTTACTTCTTGGACAATAATTTCACGTAGCACTTGTTCTTTCATTAATGATGTCACTGAGAAATACTATCTCATTGTCTTCTACAAAATTTGCCTGCGTACGTATATATATATGATCAAAATCATAGCAATGAGGCGCTGTCCAAAAATGTCGGAGCCCACGCTTCTACATGCATTGTATTCCAAATGGAACATGTTCCGCAAAAATAAGCTTAAAACCCGAGATGACCTTGATGAAGTCGTGAGTTAACCCCACTCATTTTTTTTGCTGTAAAATGAAATGCGTACAGATATAATGGACTGACAAACGAACAAACGAACGTGCCGGGTTGCAAGAATAATGAGATGGCTCGTTAGTGACTATAATAAAGCGGCATTGCATTGTAAAGAGAATTTATCTAAAAGATAAGTTAATAGTTGTACTACTAATTAGTGCAAGATATGTTTGTTTTATTTTTGTTAGATCGGTAGTCTATTGAAAACATTACTAATTATATTCAAGATATATTTTGTTCTGCTTAATCTAGAGACCACTATCCAGGGTTACAAGAACTAAAAACTTCTAGATTGACGTGTTTGGGATCTCCGTAATTTTAAGGAATATTTTTTTTGTTTAAGCTCCATGATTATCTGGCCAAATGAAACCACATACGAAGTCTGTAAATTACGTGATGAGAATTTTTTTATTCAAATAGAATTACAATTTTACGTTGTCTCCCTCAAAATAACTTCGTACTGAAGCCATACAACGCTGGATACGATTCTTTCACTCCTCATATTACAGACTACAGAAGAAAGGGATTGGCTTGCCAGCTTTAATGCCAATGCGACCCAAGTGGATCTATTGTGATCCCCCTACATCTTTCTAAAGGTTTCCATCCTTGATCCTTTAATCAGATTCCATAGCCGTGAGACAGGGCCTTGCATGTAGCTATCCGCTGTTGGACATGTAACTGTTACGTTCTGAAACCGTAGCCCTGCTAGGCCTTCACAGTGACACAGGAGATGCACTGTGGTTTCCGCGTGTCTCTGCAGAAGCCGGAACCAAGAGTCTGATATGTCGATTTAGACTACAGTGTTTTGTCAGGAGGCTCACTATGCCCCTTATGGCCTTCCTATGGAATTCGAGTAGGTCCTCTGTAAGTGCGGGCCTTTGTCCTTTGATCAACTCTTTTGACTGCCTTTGCCCGAATTGGCTGTTCCACCATTCTAGGGACTTTTTCTTGGTCCAGTTTCTTATGGACTGAAAGGCTCTGGACCTATAAGGCGATTGGCCGCGCCCTTTCGGGCTAGCTCATCCGCCTTTTCATTTCCTGTGCCCTTTATATCCTGGTACTCAGAGCAATGTTACCTTGTTTGGGTTTCCCAGCTCCCCATACCAGTTTAGACGATATTTGCGACGAACTTAATGCTTGTATGATTGCCTGACTGTATAATAAATATAAGATATATTGTCATTGGGTAAGGTCACCTTGGTGACCGAAACGTCAGTATAGAGTAATTTCAAAATATGTGTCATTTCATTGGCCGAAGACCAATACAGTTCTTTCCAACAACGAATTTCTGATAGTCCGGGACGGGGAACGATCATTTACAGTGGACCAGTTCAGAGCAGCTCATAGATAGGCAACATCATAGATTTATTGGTTTTGGTGATTGTATCTGACAATTTTTTTAGTCAGAAATTGCTTTTTGGAAATAACCGAGAGCATGTAGACCACAGGATAGTCGATTTCTTGTCTAGTTCTTGCTCACGGTAAAGAGGTAACACGGTGAAAAGTAAATGCTAGTCAAGCGAAGACGCTTCAAACACATAACTAATTCCCAGCAACCGCTTCAACAAAACACTCTTACATCCTTACAAGCCAAAGTGGTGCTTTACTGGGTAACTTACTATATTGTGCCTCGGAAGCATTGAACCTTCGTCAGAGTGGATGTCGTTTTAAGTCTTCCAATATTTATTCAACGACCGAGATCAGCGTATTAAAATCTACATGTGATTTATGACCCGTCGATTTTGTTTGCGAGGGGGACACAAGTTTGGCAAAAAATCACGTTAACACGTGCAGCCCCCTGGGCGGGGGTGACACCCACCCTAAAATCTTAAATGGAAAGGGGAGTCGAGTGATACCTTATTTTAAAGGTCTTTCAATTCCCTTTATAATGATATAAAATTAGTAATCAGTAATTTTGAAGATTTATTGATTTAAAGCTTAAAGTAGACTTTAATAGGTACATCAGATTAGTTTGTACTACTTTCAGAAGAAATTTGACTAAAAGAATGTACTTAATAGGTAAATGCTTGTCTTCACTACGCCCATGGTTTGATTATCATTTTGTTGTTGAAAATAGTTATTGGAGCGTTTTTTGTGGCAAAAAAGTTATTTCTTGAAGAAAGATAAGGAAATATCTCGTACTTATCGTAAATAGGAATTTAGTACATAGTTTACGATTGATTCGACCAAACTTTGTTGCTAAAATAACTTGTAACGCTGTAACGCTTTATTACATAAATTAACCATGGTATATTCTACAGCAGAAAGGGTTGAAATTATCGAAATATTTTTCGGAAATAATCAGTGCGCTAATAGAACAGCAGAATTATTTAATGAGCGACATGATAACAGTAACGTGCATCTAAAATATGTTCTAGAACTTGTAGCTAAATTTCGGGAAACTGGGTCAGTCGCCAATAAAAATCGCAACATTGAAAATCCCATAAGGAACGAAGCAAAAGAAGTGGGGGTTTTAGGGCAAGTTTATGTAGATCTTACGTTAAGTACCCGCAAATTGGAGACTGTGTGTGGTGTTAGTCGACGTGCTGTCCAACGGATTCTAAAGGCCCATAGTTTTCATCCATATAAAATTCACCTGGTACAAGAACTGAATGAAGACGATTTTGATCGGCGATTACAATTTTGTGAAGATATGAGTGAACGAATTATAAACGATGAACATTTGCTATTCAACACTTGCTTTTCCGACGATTTTTCATTTTTCTTAAATGGCGTAGTAAATCGTCATAACTGCCGATATTGATGGTCCGATTCTAATCCCAGAATTTATCATCAGCTTCATACACAGCAGTCACAAAAATTAAATGTTTGGGCTGGTATTTTTGGCAATCATTTAGTTGTTGGTCCTTTATACTTACCTGGAAATTTGACTGATGAAATGTATTTGGAATTACTGGAAGACGCCATAGATCCTGCATTAACAGCCATAATTGAAAATCAGAATGATCGGCGGTACATTGCGAATAGGTTGATGTTTCAACAGGATGGTGCCCCACCACATTACGCATTACGTGTTCGACAATATTTAGATCAGACGTTTCCAGATCGATGGATTGGTAGAAGAGGTGCCATTGAATGGCCCCCAAGATCGCCAGATTTATCACCTTTGGATTTCTTTATATGGGGTCATTTGAAAAGCATCTATGCTACTCAGCCAACATCATTAGAAGACCTGCGACCAAGAATTGTGAATGAGTGCCTTCAAATTACTCCTCAAATATTGCAAAATGTACGGCAACGTTTTGAGCAAAATCTTTATTATTGCATGGAGAGTCATGGTGGCCATTTTCAACATTTACTTGCCTTCTTCTTCATTTTTAAATTACTTTGCTGCCAAATGTATTGATCTCCACTAATGATGATGTATTAGTTTTATTTAAGCTTTAAATCAATAAATCTTCAAAACTACTGAACTGAAGTACATTAATTTTACATAATTATAAAGGGAATTGAAAGACCTTTAAAATAAGGTATCACTCGACCCCCCTTTCCATTTAAGATTTTGGGGTGGTGTCACCCCACGTGCTAACGTGATTTTTTTCCAAACTTGTGTCCCCATCGAAAACAAAATCGACGAGTCTGAGCGTTTTTCTAAAAATCAACTGAGCTGCCAGTAAATGCGTCGGTTTCGTTTTTGATGCGCCAGCCTGTATATGATTGGCTAAAGCGACATATACGAGACCCTGACCTTTTTAAAGTGGATTTCTAATTATTTCGGAGAGAAGCGATACATAGCTGTGACAAATTCTCACAGATGGCGTTACGGTATCTCATTTTATCTCGGATAATTTTTTGGACTTGGAAACATACTATTAGGATGCCTATCTTCAGATAGAGTAGATTAATCCAATTACTCCCGGGTTCAAAAATATGAATACCGTTCATTTCAAGCTTCTAAGCTTATGCATATCGCATACTGCATATTTTCCATCTGAACGTAGATATATTGATTGCTGAGTGAATTTAACGTATGCATTCGATTAAACATTACATAGACGCAAGAACAAAAACGTGTGTTTTTCTTGATTTACACATTCTTCGCAGATTACAAGGCGACATGCCATACCAAAAAAGAGCAATCCGTGTGGGCCAGCCATTTAGTAATTACACATCTGGAAGCAACTGCTTTTAATTAAAACATGCGTAATGGCACGTGGATTATTTCATAACACTTGTGCGTAGCGCATTTTGCGAGTATGTGAAAACAATGGCTTAATAAGATTCAAGGGCGTTTGATAGAATGAGATACTCCTAGATGAAGGCGTCAAGCAAGTCGGCCTAGGAGTAGAGATTGGTAAAAATAACGGGTTGATTGATTAACTGGTTTTTTAGATACCTTTAACCGGTTTTAACAAAAATCTTAATGTGAATATGGGCGTCCTGGATAGGTTGACAGCAATTTTGTTATCGAAAAAGTTAACTGCCTTGACAGACGTGTATCCCAGGCTACAGAGAAAAAAAGAGGTATTTCGAGTAAAAAGTTTAGCCGATAACTGAAAGTTTTAAATGAAAGGAGGTATTTCTAATGACAAGTACATTAAAAGTTACAGCCAGATATGCGTTGTTTTTTATAAACAATGGGAAAAGCTCAAAATTCGGTATTTTGCTTGTAATTTTCAAATTAGATTTTATAAGTAATCGGTAGACTTTTAGAGCATGAACAGACCTTCAATTTTATTCTTTGAGAATCAAAATCGATAAGCAGTTAAGCTAAATATAGAGCTCTTTAGCAATATTCAATAAATGTTTATAACAATTGCAACAAATAATAATTGTAAATGCCCAAAAATTTGTTGGTGTTAATATGTGTGATAAATTTCATCCGGGTCGGTTTAATAGTTTCTGTAAAAAACTAATTGTTTATCCTAGAGACGAATTATTCAAACAACTATTCTTGCCCAAGATATGCTCCTGGAACATTTTACAAAAGTGAAATGGGTCCTTGAAGGTTTCAACTTCAAGAATTTATGCAAAAAATAATTATTTATTTCAAAATTATTGTTATAAATTATGTTAAGAAATATCGATTTTTATAGTTATAAACATTTACAATAACCCCGTGATTTTTCAATATAATCTATTTTAACAAGTTTATCTGGTGGTTAAAAAATTCATGTTTTAAAGAAAACCTTCTACGACCAATAGGAGTAAAGATATTTTTTTTAAAATTCATATCTCCTTTGTTTAAAAGATTAAGACTAGAAATTTTCACGGATTTTAATCAAGGATCTTAGTTTTATGATCCAATTTATAATTTTATTATTAGTTCGAAGGCCTTTAAGAAATAGCCACCTAAATTGCAGATACTCGCGTAAGTATTTCCGGGTGAAGTGGTGGGGAATCAGCTCGAACTATTTTTTGAAATTGAGTCTCGGCTTCTAAGCAGCCTAGAACCTTCCTTTTTTCAATTTGGGTAAGTCGTCGAGATAATTTGGCACATTTTCATTTTCCTGGGAAATCAGAAAATCCCGAAAATATTAACACGCTGTATTCTTAAAAATATTAAATTATAATGAAATAATCAATTAACAATAAATCATTTACTTTTACTCTCACTCTAATAAGATAATTTATATTTTACAATAAAATTGTTTAAACAATTCATAATTCAGTTAATTGGTGTACTCTCAACAAAATACACTCTAATACATTGTAATTGTATTTTGTTTTTAAATATGCGTTTTTTAACCACCTATCCAGATTAAATTTTTGAAATAAATTATATTGAAAAATAGTCTTTTTGGTTAATTTTTTAACATTAGTTTTAACAAAAATTTTTTGCATAAATTCTTGAAGTTCAGACCTTCAAGAATTCGTTTCACTTTTGTGTTTCTAGGACCATATTTTGGGACAGTTGCTTGAATAATTCGTCTGTGTGATAAACAATTAGCTTTTTAAATAAACTATTAAACCGATTCGGCTGAAATTTCGCACATTTAATAACACTTAATGATGCCTTCATTCTCACATATTTTTAGCTACTTATCAATTATTGCAATAGTTATAAACATTTATTCAATATTGCTAAAGAGCCCCGTATTTAGCTTAATATTGTTTATCTTCTTAAAAAAACAAAATGAATGTCTTTTTATTCCCTGAAATCTCTAGTTTTCCGATTTTATTCAGAAAATTTAATTTGAAAACTATACATGCAAAATACTGAATTTTGGGCTTTTCTCACTGTTTATGAAAAAACAACGCATATCTGGCTGTATCTTATTATGTATTTGTCATATGAAAGGCCCAGATATCTATTTAAAACTTCAGATTTCTGCTAAACTTTTTTACCTGTTTTTTATCTAGCTTGGGCTAGTGGTCTAGTGGCAACGGTACAACACAGGTCTACGATCTATGGTGTTGATGAAATTGGATGAAACCTGCTGATACCTTATTGTTGATAAACAAATATAACTGTCACCTCCGGTTAACCGCACATCCGGTATTTTTATCAATAACCGCTCATTCCTATCCAGGAGTTCTCACATACTGACTACGTTGCCATTGACTTTAAAATAATAATTTCCATGGAATCTATTGAGGAATCATAAGAATATCAAATTCAAATCCTTCTGATATGATGGTTCAACTAATTAATCTTAATGCCGTTTATCAGTTAAAATTATGTCAAAAAACCTATCCTCTAAGTAAAATTAAGACCATCTGATCCAAGCTTGATGTAGTTGATCCTAATTTAATGCGATTAGAATACGTATCATTACCATTTTTGTCTCAAGTGGACCGACCTCCAAAAATTGTAGAGCTTTTAACACTTGATTAAACACAAATTTGTTTTTATGTAACAGTTTCAAATAAATTGATTAGCTGTCTTGAAATCTAGTCATGATCATTAGCAGCTACAGTAATGGACAAAAGTATATAGACAAATTAATATGGTAATACTGTATACATAATTCGTTATAGCATAATACTCGATTATACATAAATAAATTCATTAGACTTCCTTCAATAAAAAAATATTGTCTTCCATAAAGGGTAACATGACATGCTTTAGTACGTCTGTGTATACAAACTTATCCATAATGCCATCTATTTTATGTAAAGGTCCCATTACAAACCCCGAAAAGCACCCCCAAACCACAACAGACCCGCCTCCATATTTGACAGTGGGCAAAGTGTACTTGGGGTTCAATCTTTGTCCACTAGGACGTCTAACGTAATGAACACCATTTGATCTAAACATATTGAACTTGGATTCGTCAATCAAGATGCAACAGTGCAAATTGTAATCGGTCCTTACGGATTTTCCTCGAGATTAGCTGGTTCTTACTCGGGCGACGTGCAAATAACTTCAAATCATTTAATCTTCTACTTATAGTTTTCGTAGAAACACAGACAATTCATTTTGTTTCGATTTCGGCTTTTATTTGTCTTGGGGTTTTAAACGGATCTTTGGACGAAATTACTTTTATTAATCTAACTGATCTAGCATTTAGTTTTCTAGGCCGACCACTTCTCTTACAGGCTTCCAAGATACCTTTTTGTTTATATTTGTTCAATATTGCCCAAACTGCAATACGCTTCAGCTTCAAATTTGTGGCAATGTCGACTTGACGTTGACCATCTTTGTATAACTAAATGATCTTAGTTTTTACATCGAAAGAAATTTCTGAACCACGCGGCATCACTCAACTTATTCCACCATACTTGATGAACACAAACTAATCCTCTTCTGACACGAAACTTTACTAAACTAATGTTGAAAAGAATTTGTCAACATATTTTTGTCCCTCATGAAAAAGTGCTTAGGGGTTGAATGTAGATAATGTAAAAATAAGGAAATTATTTTTTCTACTAATAACGCATTTGTTTATGGAGCAATGCAGTTTGACTTCGTTTTCTAAACGTATTTAGATAAATATTCATATTTATCTATATACTTTTGTCCATTACTGTATATCGGTTGGTTCGTTCCGATTGTGTACCAAAACTTTAATTACTTTATACAAAGCCATTTACCTAAAAGCGCTAGGAAGTACGGATCAATTCTAGGTACGCCTCTGTCACTCGACCGTATGAGGTGTTTTGAATGTCACTAAATTTTCGGCATATATTTGTCTTGGTAACAACTCAAAATTGATTATTGATCACATCTCTGTCAGTCTTGAACCACCAGTTAATCAATATATTAATTTGTAATCAACGTACTTTTACTT